AGAGAGAGAGAGAGAGAGAGAGAGAGAGAGAGAGAGAGAGAGAGAGAGAGAGAGAGAGAGATGAGCGATACAAGTTTGGTTGTCACTTACCTGTGAAGCGAGCTAAACAGACCCACGAAGGAGGGAGCAAGCGGCCATAGCCGCGGACCTGTATCACGGAGTGACGAAGGAGGACAGAGGAGGAGGGACCGAGGAGAGAGATAGAGGAAGGGATATCGGAGAAGAAGACAGACATAGCCGAGGTGACAAAAAAAAAAAAAAAACAAAGAAAAAAAGAAAGGAAGAATAAGGTGAAGGAGGAGGAAGGAGAAGACAGGGGTGGCGAAGGAGAAGGTGCCGGCAGCCATAGCTGAGGTGGAGAGTTGACTGGAGGGTTGACCGGCCGTTGACAGGGAGGTTGACCGGGGTGTTGACCGGGGTGTTGACCGGGGTGTTGACCGGGGATCTTGCAGCGTTGACCAAGCGTTGACCGGAGAGTTGACCGGCGCCGTTGACCAAGACTTTGACGAAGCTGGAGTTGGTAACATCTTGCCAAGCCCTTAGCCTACCCCCTCACCCTGTGGATGTGCACTCACCCGGCGGTACTTGCTGAGTCTGAGTCTGTTTGTCTCTTCTTTCTGCATCGAGTCCCTTCTGTCCTAGGTGATAGCACTCTGTGGATGAAGGATAGTGCGTGGATGACGAAACCCTAGGCTGACCTTATAGGGCTGAGACTGTGGCTGATCCAACTTTCCAGGGGGGCATAACCCTCCCAAGGACCGGTGCTGACCGGCTGGAAACGGTTGGTAGGACTCAGTGGGCCTGAACGGCAGTTAGGGCTGACACACCAGGCAGTCTTTAAGTGTTGAGGGTCTGTTTGAACCACTCCCCTACCAGACCAAGTAAGGCTGAGGATCTGTGTCTGACGACTCGACTGTCCCGGGGGATACGAACCCTCCCAAGGACCGGTACAGACCGGCGGGCTGCTCGGKGTGGCACAGTAGGCCGGAAAGGCTGAGTTGTGGGCTGAAAGCGCAGGCAGAACCAAGCTGATCACGTCGTCCTGTCTGCGACGTTAAAGAATTCTTGCGGAGTTGGGGTGATCTCCTTAAATGCCTTCAGATCAGCCTCTGGTTCAGTAGTGACAGCCTTAGAGTAGGTTGAGGTTAGTGACCATAGTTGACAGGGTCTTACCCTGTGGTCCTTAGAGAGTCAGTCAATCAGTGAGTCTACGGGTTGGTCTACGTGGTGAGGAGTGGGACTGTCCTGTCGTGCACCTGACACCATGGACGATTACCCGATGTATGGTTTACTTGTTGGGTTCTCCCTCTGGGGGACCCTCTGGCGTCTCCTCTTTCCCTTGGGGTTCTGGCAAACATTCACCTGTAGAGTAGATACCAGGGGGGGTGCCTCCACCAAGCCCTATACAAAGGAAGAGGAGGAAAAGATGACCGCCATACTGAAGGAGAGGCAGGAGAAGAAAGAGGCCAAGAAAAGGACCTTGATGGAGGCACAGGCGGCGAAGTTGAAGAAGATAGAGGAGGAGATGGCCAGAGAGAAAGAAAGACTGAAGAAAGAAGAGGAGGAGAAACTAAAGGAGGTGGAAGAGGAAGAGGAGGAAGATGAGCAGCCACTGGAAAGGAGGAGAGAGCAACGAGGGCAGTACAGTTGCAGTAAAAATGATGAGATGAAGAAGAGGATTTCAGAGTGGGTTGCCAACTTGTCTTTGGGAGAAGAGGAGGAGGTAGCCATGTATATCCCCAAGGACGAGCAGGAGGCCGCCATGAAGGAATGGGATGCCGAAGGAGATGCTTTGAAGCGGCAGGCGATGGAAGATGCGAAGAGAATAGAGTGGAAGTTAAGGATGATGAGGGAGAAGAAGAAGAGGGTGGACGCGGCAAGTGCAACGGTCAAAGAGTTGGAGGAGGTGCAGAAACTGAGTCTACAGTTGACCTCCCAAGTGGACCTCCAACGAAAAGTAGAGATCATTGCCCAGAGTGTCGAGCGCTTGGCCCGAGTGCAGGAAGAACAATATGAGTTTAGTCGAAGTTAGGATATGGCCATGCGCTCGATGCGGATGGGATTTCGGGATTTTGCTCGCGAACTGGTAGGCGTTGTAGGAGCCGAGGTGAACCATCGCCTCGAGAAGACCGAACGATTTTGCGTCGGCGCCATTGAAGGCGTCAAGGCGACGGCTCCCAAGGAGGAAGAGGCACGTCCTCGCAGGGAGCCAGTCAAAGTCAAGTTCCCTGATTCCTACAGTGGAAAGAGGGAAGAGAACTTTGACAATTGGCAGGCCAATGTGAAGACCTATGTGCACCTGCAGCAGGTCTCCCCAGATCAGCACGTGTTGATAGCCATCCATGCACTTAGAGATGAGGCAGCCAGTTTCGCGAGGTCCCTCGTCCGCTCTGCCAACTGCAAATATGATGCAGTTACCTACTCTTCGTTCACCCCCCTCATAAATTTCATGAAATTGTTGCGCGAGCGATTCGCTGACGTCGCCCGCAGTGTTAAAGCCTCAGATAGGCTGCAGACCATCCATTCTCGCCAGTGGAAGAGTGCCAGGGCACTCAAGGGTGTTATGGATGAGTGGGTGGTTGTTCCTGACCACGGGGTCACAGAGACCCAGTTGGTCAACCTCTTCTACAGGGCTATGCCCGAATCGCTGCCTGGCCACTTCTTTGCGAAGAGTCAAGATCCTGCCATGACGTACGATGCACTCAGCAGGGAAGTGGTAGCCTTTGAGGCAAAGTCTGTGTCAGTTTCCACTTTTTGGCACAAAGACTTAGACAAGGGAAAGAAGTGGAAAGGTCGCACCATCTCAGGGCAGGTGAAGACCAAGGATAGTCTTGTCCTTAGTTTAGACGAAGGTAGTGTTAACGAGATCCCCTACGAACAGATTGAGTGGGGGTTAGAGGATGAGGACAGCGGTGTGAGTCAGGGGAGGACTTACGCTGCTATCGCGGCTGGAGGGAGGCCACAAGGAGGAGGACGAGGCCAGGGCCAAGGGGGCCGGGCCCTGGGGAACCGATCTCAGGGCGATCAGGGGGTTGGCGGCAGAGGAGGGAACCGCCAAGCGGGAGGCAGGGGTCAAGGTCCCCCGCGAAACCGTTCCGGGAATAGGTCTCCTTATAGGACAGGCGGATGGCACCCAGGGCTACCGCAGGGTAAGCCTTGGGAAGATTTGGGTCTGGACAAGGGCTTATGGCAACAGCGTGTGGACCGGGGCCAGTGCATCTATTGCGGTGACCCGGGCCACATCATTAAATATTGTCCTAAGTATAGAGAGGCCCGATCGTCTGCTCAAGGGTCAAACGGCAGCCGCCGGTAGGGGTAGCAACTGCCCCTACCATTAGGCCATGTGGGGAAAATAGCGCTAGCCGGCAGGAGACTCCCATACCGCATGAGCCTATGGCAGAGGTTGCGGGCTGGTGTCTAAATAATTGTCCAGAGACTGCTTGTGTTAGGGTCTCTTTAAACACCTCCCTCACAGGCGTGGCTGAGGAATTGAAGGAGAGGATGCCCGCCTGGGCCAAGATGAAAAAGAAACAGAAAGGACAACTCATATTAGTAGATGTAGAGATCTTCAGAGGTAGAGTAGGGGCCCTAGTAGATTCAGGGGCTACCCACAGCTATATTAGTAGAAGAGCTCTGCAGAAGTTGAAGCTGGGACTTAAGGTTCAAAAGTTAGCTGACCCCATAGTTAGTATCCTCGCAGACAACCGTACGATGGTTGTAGAGGACTATGTAGAGGGAGTCCAGGCGTATTTCCGCCTAGAGAAAGATGGGAAAGTGGAAAAAGTTCTCCACTCCCTGACTCTCCTCGTAGAAGACAGCCTCCCATTCGATATCGTTCTGGGGATGGATTGGGGAGAGGCAGTCGGGGCCACACTCCATTTAAAGGAGCACAAGTGTAGGCTCCCTAGTCCTTCAGGCGAGGCTAAGGCTGCCCGCCTGTTTCATGTGTCAGGAATAGAGAACCCCCTGGCACATTGCTGCCTTAGTGCTCCTGCATTTGCAAGATTAGTGAAAAAGGAGCAACTGGAGGAACAGGTCTTTGTTGCCTACGTTAGGCCAGTGACTGAGCCTAAAGAGGAAAAGCCTATCGACCCTGCTATTGCCAAACTGCTGGAGGAATTTAAAGACTTAGCTGAGCCGCCGTCAGGAGTAGTGCCGCGGCCCATCCAGCATCGCGTCGAGATACAGCCTGGCAGTAGAACTCCGAAGGGCGCGGTGTACAGGATGTCCCCGCGGGAGTTGGAGGAGCTTCGTAAGCAATTAGACGAACTCCTTGAGAAGGGTTGGATTAGGCCCAGTTCGTCTCCATTTGGAGCACCTGTTCTCTTTGTCCCCAAGAAAGAGGGAGAGTTGAGGATGTGTATAGACTATAGGGGTCTGAATGCTATCACAGTGAAGAATGCTGAGCCACTGCCTAGGATAGATGATCTCCTAGATAGAGTGCAGGGGGCCAAGTACTTCTCTAAGATAGATTTAAGTCTGGTTATCACCAAATCGAGGTGCATCCTGACGACCAGTACAAGACAGCCTTCCGGACTAGGTATGGGCATTATGAGTTTATAGTGATGCCCTTTGGACTGACCAATGCGCAAGCGACGTTCCAGCATTGTATGAACGATCTGTTTAGGCCATCGTTGGATAAATTTGTAGTCGTTTACTTAGACGATATTTTAGTGTTTAGTAAGACCCTCCAAGAGCATCAGGGTAATCTGCAACAGGTCTTGGAGAAACTAAGAGAAGCTAACTTCAAGATCAATGCCAAGAAGTGCGAATGGGCAAAGACCCAAGTATTGTACCTAGGCCACGTCTTAGACGGAGATGGCGTCAAGCCAGAAGATTGCAAGATCGCAACGATTAGAGATTGGCCCACACCGCGTACATTGACAGAGTTGCGGTCATTTATGGGCCTAGCTAACTACTATAGGAAGTTCGTAAGGAACTTCTCCACCATCGTTGCGCCCCTTCGCAGATTGCTGAAGAAGGAAGTGATCTGGAAGTGGGACAAGGACTGTACGTCTGCTATGAAGAAGCTAAAACAGGCATCGATAGAGTTTCCAGTCCTGAAAGTGGCCGACCCGTCTTTACCTTTTGTCGTCACGACTGACGCGAGTCAATACGGAATAGGTGTTGTCCTACAGCAAGACGATGACAATGGATATAGACCCGTAGAGTTCATGTCAGCTAGGATGCCTTCAGAGAAGGTAGCGACATCCACCTATGAGAGGGAACTCTACGCTCTCAGGCAAGCATTAGAACATTGGAAACACTACTTGCTTGGGAGGCACTTCAAAGTCTATTCAGACCACGAGACGTTAAGATGGTTGAAGACACAGGCTAAGATGACACCTAAGTTGACTAGGTGGGCCGCAGAGATAGACCAGTACGACTTTGAGCTCAAGCCAGTTAAAGGGAAGTATAATGTAGTGGCGGACGCTCTGAGTGGAAGAGCTGATTACTTTGGGGCCATAGTGCACTATTTGGACATAGGGAAAGACCTGCAGCAGAAGGTTAGAGAGGCATATGCGCAGGACCCTATTTACAACGAACTCCTTAAAAGAGTCAAGGAAGCCCCAGACACTGAACCAGATTACCGCACTACCGAGGGGTTGCTTTTTTAGAAGACTAACGTATTTGACCGATTGTGCATTCCCAATAGCGAAGAAATCCGTAGTCCGATCTTTGGAGAATGCCATGACACAGAGGGTCATTTCGGTTGGCAAAAGACTCTGGCCAATCTAATGCACGCGTACACCTAGCCGAGTATGAAGAATGACTGCATAAAATATGTTCGTAGTTGTAAAGTCTGCCAACGGAATAAGACTACTACGCGTGCCCCGCTAGGTCTTCTCAGACCCTTACCTATCCCTGATCAGGCCGGAGACTCAGTGTCCATCGACTTCATGGACACGGGCGTCAAGAGTAGACATGGCAAGAGCCAAGTCATGGTGATAGTCGATAGATTCAGTAAGTATGCTGTTTTTGTCCCTTTGCCTTCAGAGGCACGAACAAAGTTAGTAATTCGTAAGTTCTTTGATCATTGGGTCAGTGAGCACGGGGTCCCATTGTCCATAGTCAGTGATAGAGATACCCGGTTCACAAGACAGAACTGGCAGGAGTTGATGCGAGTCTATGGCTCTAAGCTGTTGATGTCGTCTGGCCGTCATCCAGAGACCAATGGTCAGACTGAGCAAATGAATAAGATCCTGCAGCAAGTTCTGAGAATGTACATTAGACCTGATCAAGTTAACTGGGATGAGATGCTTCCCAAGGTAGCCAATGCTTACAACAATAGTGTGCATCTGTCTACGTGCCGCTCCCAACGAACTGCACAAGTCCTTCAGACCGCGTAGACCATTTGAGGGACTTAACCGGGATCAAATCCATCGGCTACCACCCGGGACCAGGGAGTTCGCTATGCAGCACGAGAAAGAACTAGCTACTGTTGTAGAGAACCTCAAGAAGGCCCAGCATAGGATGATAGAGCAAGCCAACAAATATCGTCGCCCCTCACAGTTCCAAGTAGGCGACTTAGTCTGGGTTAGCGCGAAAGAGTTTGCTCCTGAGGAGAACATCTCGCAGAAGTTACTGCCTACGTATAGAGGGCCATGGCCGGTTCTAGAAGTCAAGGGTGGAGAGGATGGTCCGTCCTATACCGTTGAGATTCCACTACACCTCCACACCTACCCAGTTTTCCATGCGTCAAAGTTGTTGCCATGCACGGTGAGCGATCAGTTCCCGTCGAGACGATCCATGATCCCACCAGACATGGATGGAAGGTATGACATTGACGGCATTGTAGGTGAAGATGTGTTTAAAACAGGAGGTAGGGGTCATCCTCAGAAACAGTACAAGGTCCGATTTGCATATCAGGAACCAGAAGACGACCGATGGTACACCCGAACTGAACTTCTGGAGACAGCTCCCGATATAGTCAAGGCTTATGAAAGGTAAAGGTCCTGCCTTGGACTGAAATTTTCTCAGAGGACCTCGAATTTAGGCCGGCGGGAGTGAAACGGTATTCACCAGTTTGCAGTAGCTGATGCAGATCCCAGGGCTCGATCCCTAGATCCCCACCTTACCTGTGTACAATACCTGTGTCAACCCGTAGAGTTGAACCTGCGACCTGTAGGATCGCCAGTGGTAAGTAGGATGTCGTAGGTTAGAGGGTATAGGGGATTCG